GACATGCAAGATTCATGCACAATATCTTACAAGAAAGTGGGCTAATTTCTTGCAAGATTGTCTTGCATAATAATGCCTGACAATCTTGTAAGATTTTTTCACCTGGGATAGCCTGCAAACTTAACCCTCGCCCGTAAACGGCGATCTGCCACCTTCGCCCATGCAGGGGGGGGGGTTGGTGCGACCCCCCCCTTGGCGTTTGAAAACGGAGCGTCGTAGAGCTTAGCGGAAAAGACCAACGGATTGCTCTCGCCGAGATCTCGCGATTGGTGGTATATTTTTTGGTCCTAGGTCAACATTTGACCTACTTTTGACCGGTCAAAGGTCAAATTTTCGGAAAAATAGACTTTTTCAACTTTCCGCGGCGATTGCGGCAAAACGGTGGGAGATATCGACTTGAAACCTTCACTATCGTGTTCCTTGCTTAATTCTCTATCGTTTGGTATGTATTTCGTTTCCCTAGCTCTAAAAATGGCGCGTTGGAAGCGCCGGAAGTCGGCAAGGTCACAGTCGGCGGCAGAAATGCGAAAAATCAAAATTTAAATTTTTGAAATCTGATTGTATTTTTGGATTCGGGAGGTCCATTTGCTCCCTATAGAAGCTAATATTGCTGCATATTCCCATTGAGGTGACAAGAATTAGCAAAATAGTGGTTCCGGGGATGTTGATCAAGACAGCCCATATTCAGCCCAGATTCAGCCCGGATTCAGCCCAGATTCGGGACACCTCCGATCAAGCTGAAACTCGCACACAATGTAGGCCATGACATGCCCAATCCACAGTCCAAGTCATTCGGTGGCACTCCCAGCCGTTTGACCTACAGAGGTCAGCAAAGGTCACGTGGCCCAAATTTGCACAGCAGATTGTGACCCACCCAGTAGAGCTAGAGCGCTAAAAATGGCACCAATCGACTTGCCAGCATCTAATCTTACTTTCCCAACACTCATTTGACCTCTCAAGGTCATGCGATAACCTAAGGTCATTTGTGGGCTATGTCGAAAATACACTTGCACAGCAGTTTTCGAGTAGATGGATTGACCGAATTCCAAATCAAAGCACATCATCGGGTAGCCCATAGGCCGTAGTAACTTTCCTTGAAAACCGCTTTTCGATATGTGACCCCGTTTGACCTCGGCAGGTCAAAATGTGCAAATAAACGACACTCAATACGTCGCAGCCCGGATTCAGCCCAGATTCGGGACACCTCCGATCAAGCTAAAACTCGCACACAATGTAGGCCATGACATCCCCAATCCACAGTCCAAGTCATTCGGTGGCACTCCCAGCCGTTTGACCTACAGAGGTCAGCAAAGGTCACGTGGCCCAAATTTGCACAGCAGATTGTGGCCCACCCAGTAGAGCTAGAGCGCTAAAAATGGCACCAATCGACTCGCCAGCATCTAATCTTACTTACCCAACACTCATTTGACCTTTCAAGGTCATGCGATGACCTAAGGTCATTTGTGGGCTATGTCGAAAATACACTTGCACAGCAGTTTTCGAGTAGATGGATTGACCGAATTCCAAATCAGAGCACATCATCGGGTAGCCCATAGGCCGTAGTAACTTTCCTTAAAAACCGCTTTTCGATATGTGACCCCGTTTGACCTCGGCAGGTCAAAATGTGCAAATAATCGACACTCAATACGTCGCAGCCCGGATTCAGCCCAGATTCGGGACACCTCCGATCAAGCTGAAACTCGCACACAATGTAGGCCATGACATGCCCAATCCACAGTCCAAGTCATTCGGTGACACTCCCAGCCGTTTGACCTACAGAGGTCAGCAAAGGTCACGTGGCCCAAATTTGCACAGCAGATTGTGGCCCACCCAGTAGAGCTAGAGCGCTAAAAATGGCACCAATCGACTCGCCAGCATCTAATCTTACTTTCCCAACACTCATTTGACCTCTCAAGGTCATGCGATGACCTAAGGTCATTTGTGGGCTATGTCGAAAATACACTTGCACAGCAGTTTTCGAGTAGATGGATTGACCGAATTCCAAATCAAAGCACATCATCGGGTAGCCCATAGGCCGTAGTAACTTTCCTTAAAAACCGCTTTTCGATATGTGACCCCGTTTGACCTCGGCAGGTCAAAATGTGCAAATAATCGACACTCAATACGTCGCAGCCCGGATTCAGCCCAGATTCGGGACACCTCCGATCCAGCTGAAACTCGCACACAATGTAGGCCATGACATGCCCAATCCACAGTCCAAGTCATTCGGTGGCACTCCCAGCCGTTTGACCTACAGAGGTCAGCAAAGGTCACGTGGCCCAAATTTGCACAGCAGATTGTGGCCCACCCAGTAGAGCTAGAGCGCTAAAAATGGCACCAATCGACTCGCCAGCATCTAATCTTACTTTCCCATCACTCATTTGACCTCTCAAGGTCATGCGATGACCTAAGGTCATTTGTGGGCTATGTCGAAAATACACTTGCACAGCAGTTTTCGAGTAGATGGATTGACCGAATTCCAAATCAAAGCACATCATCGGGTAGCCCATAGGCCGTAGTAACTTTCCTTGAAAACCGCTTTTCGATATGTGACCCCGTTTGACCTCGGCAGGTCAAAATGTGCAAATAAACGACACTCAATACGTCGCAGCCCGGATTCAGCCCAGAATCGGGACACCTCCGATCAAACTGAAACTCGCACACAATGTAGGCCATGACATCCCCAATCCACAGTCCAAGTCATTCGGTGGCACTCCCAGCCGTTTGACCTACAGAGGTCAGCAAAGGTCACGTGGCCCAAATTTGCACAGCAGATTGTGGCCCACCCAGTAGAGCTAGAGCGCTAAAAATGGCACCAATCGACTCGCCAGCATCTAATCTTACTTTCCCAACACTCATTTGACCTCTCAAGGTCATGCGATGACCTAAGGTCATTTGTGGGCTATGTCGAAAATACACTTGCACAGCAGTTTTCGAGTAGATGGATTGACCGAATTCCAAATCAAAGCACATCATCGGGTAGCCCATAGGCCGTAGTAACTTTCCTTCAAAACCGCTTTTCGATATGTGACCCCGTTTGACCTCGGCAGGTCAAAATGTGCAAATAAACGACACTCAATACGTCGCAGCCCGGATTCAGCCCAGATTCGGGACACCTCCGATCAAGCTGAAACTCGCACACAATGTAGGCCATGACATGCCCAATCCACAGTCCAAGTCATTCGGTGGCACTCCCAGCCGTTTGACCTACAGAGGTCAGCAAAGGTCACGTGGCCCAAATTTGCACAGCAGATTGTGGCCCACCCAGTAGAGCTAGAGCGCTAAAAATGGCACCAATCGACTCGCCAGCATCTAATCTTACTTTCCCAACACTCATTTGACCTCTCAAGGTCATGCGATGACCTAAGGTCATTTGTGGGCTATGTCGAAAATACACTTGCACAGCAGTTTTCGAGTAGATGGATTGACCGAATTCCAAATCAAAGCACATCATCGGGTAGCCCATAGGCCGTAGTAACTTTCCTTCAAAACCGCTTTTCGATATGTGACCCCGTTTGACCTCGGCAGGTAGAAATGTGCAAATAATCGACACTCAATACGTCGCAGCCCGGATTCAGCCCAGATTCGGGACACCTCCGATCAAGTTGAAACTCGCACACAATGTAGGCCATGACATCCCCAATCCACAGTCCAAGTCATTCGGTTGCACTCCCAGCCGTTTGACCTACAGAGGTCAGCAAAGGTCACGTGGCCCAAATTTGCACAGCAGATTGTGGCCCACCCAGTAGAGCTAGAGCGCTAAAAATGGCACCAATCGACTCGCCAGCATCTAATTTTACTTTCCCAACACTCATTTGACCTCTCAAGGTCATGCGATGACCTAAGGTCATTTGTGGGCTATGTCGAAAATACACTTGCACAGCAGTTTTCGAGTAGATGGATTGACCGAATTCCAAATCAGAGCACATCATCGGGTAGCCCATAGGCCGTAGTAACTTTCTTTGAAAACCGCTTTTCGATATGTGACCCCGTTTGACCTCGGCAGGTCAAAATGTGCAAATAATCGACACTCAATACGTCGCAGCCCGGATTCAGCCCAGATTCGGGACACCTCCGATCAAGCTGAAACTCGCACACAATGTAGGCCATGACATGCCCAATCCACAGTCTAAGTCATTCGGTGGCACTCCCAGCCGTTTGACCTACAGAGGTCAGCAAAGGTCACGTGGCCCAAATTTGCACAGCAGATTGTGGCCCACCCAGTAGAGCTAGAGCGCTAAAAATGGCACCAATCGACTCGCCAGCATCTAATCTTACTTTCCCAACACTCATTTGCCCTCTCAAGGTCATGCGATGACCTAAGGTCATTTGTGGGCCATGTCGAAAATACACTTGCACAGCAGTTTTCGAGTAGATGGATTGACCGAATTCCAAATCAAAGCACATCATCGGGTAGCCCATAGCCCGTAGTAACTTAAAACGTTTATTTGCACATTTTGACCTGCCGAGGTCAAACGGGGTCACATATCGAAAAGCGGTTTTCAAGGAAAGTTACTAGTAGCACACAACATTGATACAACATCGAGATATGTTGAAATCAGGTTGATTGTCAATATTGGTGCTTCAACACGAATTCAACATTGATTCAACGTTGATATCACGTTGATATTAGGTTGTGCTTTGTCGAATCTTAGTTGAAGTTCAACATTGTAGTTCAACATCGATACAACATTGTCCCAATGTTGAGATCACAATATCGACAGAGGTAGAATTTCAACATTGTGTTTCAACATTGATACAATATTGTCACGATGTTGATTTCACAATATTGATAAAAGTAGAGTTCCAACATTGTGATTTAATTACTTTATTGCCCCGCAGTTGTGTTGACAATTGACAGCGTTAAAGGGGGCAAATGCCCCCTCGGGTGTAAGGATGGGCTCGACAGGTTCAGGTCCTATAAGGCGTCAATCAGACCAAATCAGACTTTAAGCATTATTGTATAGGTAGGCATTATTTTACTCGGGTGCCACCGGTGCCATTCAAGTATCACGGTATTTAGTGCCTTGGTCCCACCAGTCGTGCGCTGTGCTCTTTCAGAGACCGTACCGAGTGGAATTTAGCGACCGCTGACCGTTTTGAAGACTGTACGCGGCCGGCAGCGGGCGGTCCCATCCTCGCCTCCGGCTAGAGAGGGGGAGACCGCGACAGGGGACCGCGCGTCCCCGTCCCGTTGTGCCGGCTCGCAGAGTGCGAACGGGTGTGTTGAGTGCGTTGTGTCCAGTGTCGTCTGGCGTCTCCTCTTCCGACCATGTAGGACGTAGGTTTCCGCTAGTTTCTGCTGTGTGACAATCAGTGCATTTATCCTAGTTGTTGCAGTGCTAAGTTTAAAAAAAAAAACTGGCGTTGAAACGTTGTCTTCAAAATGGTGGCGATCACCGCCGTCGCTCACTTGCCTGCGGCAAAGGGAAAAGTGCTGTCGGTGGCGTTATGTAGTGTCATGCCTTGAAACAGGGCCCGGTAAGCATAAAAGAATGGATGCAGGGTCGTAGGATGTATAGATACCTACATGCGTGATGTTAAATGCACTTACGTAAGTATCTAGTAGTAGTATGACTGCACTGAATTTTCTCAAAGGCCCAATGTATTACATACCGCTGTTACATAGGAATCTCCGCTGTGTTACAGGAGTGCGAGGCTCGACGGGTGACTCAACAGTCAAGGCCCCCACGGCCCTGACTCAACCGCTCAAGATGTGAAGATGGCGGAGACTGAGCGGCGACCGAGGTTGTGTGACGTGATGTGTGAAGTGTAGCTGACTCGAAAAAAGTGAAGAGCTGTGCATATATCATAGAAATACATTTTCCCCCAATATTGACTGTGACGGTGACGCTGGAATATTTTAGGTAATTACGGGATAAAAGATTTCGTACACGTATAGGTCTATCGACAACAACATCGAGACAACGTTGTATCAACATCTAGACAATGTTGAATCAACATCGAGATTATTCGAGACAATGCTGAATCAACCAAGGATCAACATCGAGACAATGTTGAATCAACCAAAAATCAACATCGAGACAATGTTGTATCAACGTCGTAACAATGTTGTGCAATGTTGTGCTGTCAATATTGATACGATGTCGAAGATCAACATCGTATCAATGTCGAAAGTGGCTAACAGAATTACATCGATACAACATTGTTGTCAATATTGATACAACATCGACACAATGTTGATGTGCTAGTGTGCTACTAGGGTGACCTGACCGTGACCTGAGGTCAACACCTAAAGTTGACCTCACCAAAACAAAAAGTATATCATTCGACGCGCCTGAGCGAGGCGAACACGATACTGCCAAAATCGCGGCTCTGTGACCGTTTTTTGCGAAGTTATTCACCAAAAACCGAACCGTACCTTGGGGCACTTGACCTGACCTCAGAGGTAACCGGTTGACCTAGGAACTTAAAATCGGGTATCAATCTCTGCGTCTCGTAACGGCGCACACGCTCGTTTTTTTTCGACACGCGCTAGCTCCACCAGGGGCGAAACGGCGAGGGGGGTCGTCGTACCCGTCCCCCCCCCCCGCCGGAGCGTATGTAGAAAACCAATAGGGCCGGCGAGGGTTAACACACACGCCACGGGAACTCAATTCCGCCGGAGTCTGGCCGCAGGCAGTGTTTATGTCCTGCGAAGGGATGCTGTTTACGTTGGAGCCGGTGCCTGGAGCGGCAGACTCGCCGACCGCGGCTTCGACACACGGCAGGTCGCATCTCGCCTCAACCCGTGTCGCAGCTGCTTGTCTTGTGCCCGACGATTACCGACCACCCCTGGCGGTCGGTGGCCTTAACCCGCGCCCTGCTGGGGGGGGGGGTGTTTGAACACCCCCCCCTTGTGGTTTTTCGCGAATATCTCAAAAACGGCGGCGCGGAGCGCCGCCGTTTTTGGTACACCTTATCATACATCAATTCTACACATGTTGTGAAAATTTTAGACCAAGGTCATTCAAGGTCAGGTCACCAGGTCACTTGAAGTGACCTCACCTCATACAAAGTTCCAATGTCTGTCATAGCTACACCGAGTGACCGATCGCTTTGAAACGTTCAGCGATTGCTAAGAGCAATAACATGTACAAAATGTATATCTCAGAATTTGGATGTCGATGACCTAAGGTCAGGTCAATTTTGCGACCTCCCCATTATAAGTCAATGGGAGAAAATTGAAATGCGCCTGTTTTGGACGAAAGACATTATAAACACTCCCAAACACCGAATTACAGGTGGTTTAGACACACTGAACATGAAAATGGTGTCCGTGACCCTTGTTTATGCCCTGAGGTCATCTTAGGTCACGAATGGTATCTAACAGTTTTTCGCAAATAACTTTTGATAGAGGCATGCTAGAGCGATGAAAACGCCTTAGATGTGTTCAGCTCGACGATACGGATCGACTGATATGCAACATGGCCCTTTCCGGTCAGGTCATGACCTTGACCTGAGGTCAAATTTTCAAGTTGACCTTTCAAGGTCAAGTTATAGTTCATTCGATGCGTCTTGACGAGAGGAACACGATGCCGGTAAAAGTAAGCTCGTACAAGGCTTGGGTCAAAAGTTATTGCAGAAAAACTGTCCGAAAAAATCGGCTATTTTTGCAGTTTTTGCCCCCTGCAGGCAAAACCGTTGACGCTAGGTCAAATCTGAGAGAATTACTCAGAAAGGGCGTTAATAGGGCTATCGAATGCGCTTTTCCGCGGCGCTGTAGCTCTATTGGTTCCCGAGTTATGCGTTGGCTTCTTGGAAATTTTCGACATTCGACCTGGAAATCGGCGAAATTTGGCCTTCAATGACCTCTGGTGACCTGACCTTTGACCTGACCAAAAAATTGACCGAAGTGATATCGTCATTATTTTTGACGCTCTTTCGAACGCCGCCTTCCGCGTATCGCTACGTGGCCCAGGAGCCGAGTTACAAGGGGGGGTGTAACACCCCCCCCCCCCCCAGCAGGGCGTGGAAATCCAGGACCCCCAGCAGGGCGCGGGTTAATCGGTTTGACGGCCTAATGAAGCGAAACGAAATGAAACCGAGGTGTTCAACTATCCCTCTCAAGTCCTGTCGTTGATTGTTGAAGCTAGTTTTCGTCAACGTCTCAAGTAACTTTATTGTAACAAACGGTGTCGCAAAGACAAAGCGTTTATTGTCAAAGAAAATATAGGTGAGCCATTTCCACATGTCTCGTATGCATGGAGCACATTAAACGCCTTTAATGATAACGGCATTATTCTATCACCAGTAGCTATGATGACCCGCCAAAATAGCGCCTTTATATAAACTCAGGATCCAGCATCCGATGGCTTCTAGTGTCCATCACTGCGCGCGTTACTGTGACAGGTAATTGCGCAGTGCCGTACCGTCACCGGACCCTGCCGCCCGCGCCGACCCTCTCATGGGGACGGCGTCGGCGCAGGGTACCGGTCGGCTTTGGTCCGTTTGCTGAGACTGCGGTAGAGGCTATTGAGGAAGGCCTGGTGCGGGTCGACGGTGGGCCGCGGGGTGGTGACGCTCAGCCGCGCCTGGCGCTCCTCGCGCAGCTGGCCGCCCAGCTGGGCCAGCTGCTCGCCGGTCTCCGCCAGCCGGCCGTCCACGCGCTGCAGACCGTCGGCCAGCGCCGCCTCCGTGCGCTGCGCCAGCTCGGTGACCCGTCCGACGGCGGTGCGCAGCTCGGCCAGCGGCGCCGTCAGCGCCGCGCCGCCGGCCGCGCTGCAGGCGCCGCGCGTCTGGTTGTGCTCGGCCGCCTGGGAGGTCGCCAGTCCGGACACGGACTCGGACACGGCGGCCACACTCTGCGCCAGGCCGTCTCGCAGCGCGGCCAGCGCGCCGGCCGTGCCCTCCTGGGCGGCCGCCAGGCCGGCCAGCTCGGAGCGCGCTGCGGCGGCGCTGTCCGAGAGCGTCTCGAGCCGCTGCAGGGCGTCTGCCAGCTGACCGGCGGCGCGCTGCTGACCGGCCTCGAGCGCCGCCAGCCGCGACTGGAGGCCGCCCACGGTGCCGTCCCACTCGTCCAGGCGGCTGACGTGGCTCTCGATGGAGGTCAGCAGCCGCGAGACGGCGAACAGCTTCTCGGTCAGCACGTCGTTCACCTGCTGGGACGTCTGGCGGCTGACGAAGGCGGCCGCCGGGCCGCACGCGGCGCCGACCGCCAGCAGCAGCAGCACGGGACCGGGAGACATTGCGACGGACGGCGGCGCGTGTCCTCTCTCGGCGGACGTCCTCACTGCAATGCGCAGCGGCCGGCGCCGGCGCAGCCGCTCGGTTTGTTTATGACCGGACTGGGATCGCCGCCACAGGAATGTCCCACCACTGGCCAGACGGCACTGGACGCTTATACAATGGGAATCCCCGCGTTTACGTCTCCGTCGCCTCGTATCCGGAAATTTGGGCGACGTACAGCACAGCCGTCAGTCCGGATGGGGGGCGGGTACTTACAATGCGTCAATACACAATAGTCCGAGCCGGGTTTTCCAGGTCAACGCAGTTGCGACCGGATACCCCGCCATCGTTGGACGAAGAATACCAACCCTGTCCACCCACCGAGGCGAGCCAGTCGGCACGTAGCCAGGATTTCGCTCAGGGAGGGGCCACAGGTCGCGGCCTAGCGTCGTACCCCTTCCAAAAATGGAAAACGCCTCCGATATGGTCCACATTTTTGTGGGTGTGCAGCTGTTTTTATTTATTTTTATTTATTTATTTTTATTTTTTTTCGCCTTCAGGGGGGCATGGCCCCCGTGCCCCCCCCCCCCCTGGCTACGTCTCTAGGGAAGTAGCTAGGGGGGAGCACGGGGCCAGCTGACTGGCCCCAGCTGGGGCCAGTCACGTAAACCAAGCATGTTGTTAGGATGATTGCCGGTGATATGACGGTTACGTCTTGGTCCTGCGGTTCCGAAGTCCAAACGACAGAGCTACGAGCCGTATGTAGAGCCGCCTTTATTTTGCTGGTAAAAATATTCGTGTTGCCCGAAAAAAAAGTCTGACTGGTTAACGGATCAACTTAGAAGGGTCACTTTTGAAGGATTAGGCACTTTGTGATGAACGCCTTTGGATTGGGGCCTCAGCTACCTTGTCTACACGGTATACTGTATAACTCTATGCTCCGAAAGTTTCCAAACATTAGAATAAAAAATAAACGGTACCTGATGCAGACCTACAGCAATATCGATAGCAGCGCAGAGTATTATTTCATTTTGGGAAGACACCAAAAACGGTATCTTCTTTAGGTCCCAATTATTTTCAATGGCCGATCAATATCAGTACAACTCCTCACCACCCACTCACACTTCACAGGCAGCCAAGAAAGCATTGCACAAGTAAAATACAATATACGTTAAAACACCCCATACGATATGATCTAATAATACCCCTGATGCGAGTTACCGTAATATTGTCGCCTATGTCGCGTATTCTCTGAGCGTGTCACCTGAACTTATAGCAGCACTCCCACCTGTCCGCCCCTGCCGATCACCGCTGGGCGAGGTCGAGCGCCACCTCGACCTGGCCGCGGTAGCCGTTGTCCTCGATGGCGGCCAGCCGGGCGCGGTACTCGGCCGGCAGCTGGTTCTCGGCGGCGCCCCGCTCGATGACGTCCTTGTAGACGGCCGACGGGCGCCGGTCGCGCTCCGGCGGCGTCACCAGCTGGTAGCTGCGGCAGCGCAGCCGCTCGCCGGCCGGCGTCTCGGCCGTCACCGTCACCGGCCGGTAGATGCCCTGCTGGACGCCCTCCTGTCTGCGGCCCCCGGCGGTCACTCAGAGCGGAGCACCGCACAACATACCTACTGATAGTGAACGGGCCGGCCGTGGTACCTATCAAGCTAGTGAAATATATGTGACATTTTCAGCATGATCGTATAGCTAGCATTAGATCGGAGCCTCATTCAACATTGTTATCTTTGACTCATTGTTAGGGTTTTCCTAAAGCAGTGAAGCATTTGTGGACACCAGCAAGTAGTAAAAGCAGGGATCAAATATTGATCGGCTTGTAACAACTCATGCCACACAAAGCACTACCATTGACACATATAAACAAATTCTTATGGAATAAATGACTTCATGCAAAGGTTCTACACATATTGATCCACATGACCCAGCTAAATATAGCATGTGTACTGTGTAGTGGGTACTCCATGCAATTGTCAGGATGTCATTGTGAAGGCCTCAGCATATTGATGATCAGCTTTACCCTCCAGCCAAGAGCATCAATTGTTCTTACTTACTCATCAAGCGTCTTCAGGTGTTCCTCATCAAGTTCCCAAATGACTCCCCAAACATGCTTATCAGAATCTTCTTCAATTGTAGCTGCTGCTCCTTTCCAGCGCTTGCTGTAATAGTTGAAGTCAAGACGATAGCCCTGAAAAGTTAGTAAATGTTTAATTACATCACATATTCACCTAAGTATATCACACTGCAAAGCCTAGTGGGAGAGACTCTGGGCCCTGCATCCAAACTAAGCAGCAGTAACAAGACACAACAACACTGCAGAGTCAACCTGAACTCAAGTCATGAATATTTTGAAGTCTACTGCAAAGCAAATCATGTTTACCCACTTGCCAGTTGAAAACAGCACATGCAATGCCCCCATTAATCACCCAGTTAGGTACGTGGTATGAAGGCCTGAAATCATAAGGTAGTGCTATGTTCCCAACTTCCCAGCCAGTCAGAGCCAGAGGAAACCAATCAAGAATATCACTCAGGTAATTCAACTGACTGCACAAGTGTCTTCCAAATGTACCTAAACCATCCTTTCAGGAACCTCCTTATTACACTAAGTGTTTTTTTTTCTTTTTAACATGATACATGCAATTTTTACATTATCTCACGAACATACGCATACCAATGCACCCATACTACACACGGAGGCCACCAGGGGGAGGGTCATTCTACCACCAGTGCCGCTAAGTGGCTTGGCTTCAAGGCAAATATTTATCACCAACAAACTACAAAGGGTAGGTAGTTTCCTGAAGCCTTCCGTACCTACCTAATGTACTTACATCCACCTTTCCAATGGCAACTTTCTTAGCTGATGGATTGTTTATGTGAATCCTCTCCTTCAGAAGATTACTTCCATAAGCAAAATACATGAATGTGTTGTTTTTACTCATGATTTATTGAGATATTCTTCTTGTAATGACTGCAATACTCAGAGCCAAAGTTTCTTGGGCAAGCAGATTTGGCTGCAGGCAAGGTGGGCGAGAAAATCAATGAGAATACAAATTACAAAGCCTGCATGGCGCCGTGAATTCTTGCAAACGCAAGAATTCACGGCGCCAATCAATAGTCTCAAAAATAAAAACACAGCGGGCGCATCGGAAGACTTGTTCGATAGCATCACAAGCAAGAGCGGTTCGCTTTCAAATGGCGAATGACGTGAAAATGCTTCTTTGAATGACGTCAGAAAGAGACAACCTTAGGGTTTGATTGGACGTAAATCAGCCGTTTAGAGGTTGCTATGGAAACAAGAATGAGGCTTCTTTCACAACGGCCACGATCAAACAGGATGTTTGTCTGTTTTGTAGTAATTCGTAAAAAAGTGGTTTCTGTACCAACTCTGTTTTAATTTAATTATTTCTAAAAGAGAATTGGCCTCAGTAATGAAAAGAAACATTTAAAAGTAATGTTCAGGGCATGGCTGGCACTGGCACTATTTACGGAATACCATGGTGCTGCACTTGTTACCTACGTTTTATGGGGATAACTGGGGTGTGTTTTGGGTAATGTGCTGACTTGTCGAGCTAGAAGAGGGCTGCAGTCATTAGTGACATTTTTCAGAGTCAAAACACTGAAAAATCCAGCCCAAGGTATATAAAAACACTATCCAGCCGTTTTCAAAGGGAGGGGCCAAAGCTGGCCAAAAGGTCAGGTCTCTGATGGTTGTCAATGACAAAATTTACAGCTTTTGATTTACTTGGACTAAATGGTATTGAAAATGAGGATTTATGGACTTATCTTGCATGCATGTCATCATTTTTGTGAATTGCATTCCAGAAGAGATTTTACAGGGGTGAATTTGGTTTGGAAAGGGGGGACAATTAATTATGTTTTGGCCGCCCCTAGGCCCTAGCCCTAACCTTTGCCCAGTTCAAGTTGGCCCCTTTGCATCTGCCAGTGAGTCAAGAGGGATACCTAAGGGGGAGTTTAGGGGGTATGAAAAGATGACTTCTGTAGTAGGTCAAGTATCCCTATATGGCCAATTCCTGAAATATGGCAGGCTGATTGGCTGTATAGTCTTGCCTTGCTTTTTTTCTCTTCCATGGATTTGAACCTTACCTTGAGCATTGCCTAGGCATTGCTTAAGGTACTTACAAGCTACAAAGCAATCCTGCTTGCGCACTAACATAAAAACTAAACATTCGTTTTTATGTTTATTATGCTGCCACTTGGTGATACCTGTTGTACAGCATTTACCTATATTTCAGTGCTTCTAGCCTCATTAAAATGTGTTGAGCTGACTATTCACTAAAACAATATTCCTTAAATTGCCATAACTTTTCTAGTTATTTTTATCTGATCTCCAGAAATTTTCCTTTCATACAGGTCATGCTAAGACGTGCCTTTCTTCAAGCATGGAGAATCAGAAGGCAAGGCCCAGGTGTAAATCTATTGAGGAAAAGTCAAGCTTCAGTTACGTCAATGAAAAATGTGAGAACTATGTCATCAAATTGGAACCATGAAAACAGGTAGGTGCCTACTTATCTTGATATGTCTTAATACATTGGGTATTCAGAACCTGTTATATTACAGATATGGTGCTCTTTGTTGGTTTGTTACATATATCCATAAATGAAGACATTTGACAATATGAATGATCAACCTGTGCACAATATCATATAGGTAGGTACCTACATCAGTATCATGGATAAGTTATGCATCTATACCTCTCTACAGATTGCTGTCCTTACCTAGCCTGGGCTCCTCCCCATCTACTCAGTAGGTACCTCGGTGGTGCCTTGTCGTCCCCCTCGGCCGCTGTGTGACGGCGCCGGCTGCGTCGGCAGGTACCACGACCCGGTGGTGGTGGACGTCACGCCGCGTGAGCCGCTCTCGCCGGCCACCTACGAGGCCGTCTGCGAGGAGACCCTGGAGAGCCTCTGCTCGGCGCTCGAGGAGCTGCTCGAGACGGCCGCCAGCCAGCCCGGAGTCGACGTCGAACTCAGCGTAAGACCTCGCGCCGGCAGGCGGTCGGAATAGACTGGTCAGAGACCGTGTGAACGGTGCTTGTTACGGAAGCCGTAACTTTCAGCCGTCCTATAGGAAAATCCCGGGCTGTCAGAAGCCACCAGATAGTAACTGGAAGTCGAAGTTGAGAGTTCCCACGTGGGCACGGTCCGTCCCGCTGACTTCTTTCAAATAGCCGCGTCTGTCACCACTCACCACCAACCGCAGACCATCCTCGTTAGTGTCTCACATGCCTTTCGAGCGCCGGAACTTGTTCACCAACACACTAAGTCAGTTAGCACGCAGTAGCGGGCTGATTCCGGGCTGACGTCTGACTCCTGTTGGCCGTGCTCTAGAACGGCGTGCTGACGGTGAAACTGGGCGAGGCGGGCACCTACGTCATCAACAAGCAGTCGCCCAATCAGCAGATCTGGCTCTCGTCCCCCGTCAGCGGGCCCAAGAGGTAAACCACCCACTCCAAACGAATCGTCCACATGGGCCATTTGCCCTTTTTAGCGAAACGGCACATGTACTTCGTGGATAGCCTTGAGGTGAATATTACTGAAAAACGCTTGAACACACATGCTAGTTATGTGTCCACTCCACGTCTTATTCAGTTTCCAAGAATGTCTTGAATAAGCCGATAGATGCGGCCCAATATGCGTTAATTCTGGCTCGCCCCCAGCGGCCGACCCGCAGTCCGGTCGGCCCGCCCCCGGCCGCACGTCCTGACTGCCGACCTGCCGCCCCGGCAGGTACGATTTCGTAGACGACGGCTGGGTGTACCGGCGCGACGGGCTGCAGCTGCACGAGCTGCTCTCCCGCGAGCTCAGCCAGCTGCTGGGCACCTCGGTCGACCTGAGCTTGTGCTCACACACCGGCAGCTAGCGCCATCTCTTGTGGAGGTTGGTAACTGCAGGCTGTCACTGCGGCCGTCAGGCGGCGGTAGCGGCCGCGGAGAATGCTAGGACGGACGAAGGAGGCTGTGGTAAACCCGTAACTGGACTCGGGAGAGGGGTGGCTGATGTGGTACGATTGCTGTTGGTTGTAAAACGAGGTTCGCTGGTGGTATTGTATGCCGTGTATGTCAGTCGCCGTTTGTCCCCAACTAATCGTCATAAAAGATTCAGTCCTGGGCGAATCTCTGATCACCGTCAGAGAAAAGACAGACCTTCATGTTACACCTGACGGACAACGATTATTTCGTTTTGTGTGCCATTTGATGGGTAAATGTAAAGGGTGTGGACTATGGATGCTGTATGATAAAGATGTTTTGATAGTTTTGTTGCTGACGGAAAGATATATAGGCGTATGTTGAATTATGCCTTCAAGTGGCCTGTGAGAAAATAAATAGCTAGCGAAGTAGTGCAACTTGTGTGTATACGTTTTACCCTGCGCTTCCCACCAAATCCTCGAAAGGCGAATTTTAGGGGACAGTTGCAAACCTTACGTCGCAAGGTTGCGTCGTAATTATATCACATCATTTTCTTCTATTCCAGGGGCTCCGCCACAGGGGGGGTCGCGGGGGTCCGGACCCCCTCAATAATTTTCCTGGGGGGTACAGTACCCCCCAATATTCCAGATACATATAAGCTGGTTTTCGCGTAGAAATGACCATATCATTCACAATATGCATTTTGAATGTGTTGACAGTCGTATAGCTAAGGAACTGAAGATCTAGAAATGTAGGGAACCCTTATAATGTCGTAGCAGACGAAGTGCTCGACAGACCCTCGACCGACTCGACAGTGGCACTCACCGGTCATGGGATTACACCATCATTCCACCATTTTCGTTATTACTATGAATGCGCTTAAGATGGCTAGGATTAGCTAGGTATACTAGAATTTGGCTACGATTTTGCGAGGGGGGAGCATCCAGCTTGTAGGACACCTCCTATAGACACAACACCTGCCCTAAGAGAGCTTCAAATCGATCTGAGAATCCTCTTTCAATGGAAGATCCTATATATAGGATCTTCACTATACTATAGTGTCACTATGGTGTTGTGTATAGTGTATAGTGTTGTTGACACTATAGTGTCAGGGGGGGGGTCCATGTCGGTCTTTCAGAGCACCATTCTAGTCTAAGCATCCTCACACCGTTCTGAGGTAATCTGCAATAATCTGCACAGGGCTCTGAATGCAGGTTCGTAGAGGTAAGACATTCACAAGTCACAATCCCAACAGGATCCCCATTGCCTGACTATTGATTCATCATTCAAGTGGTGCATTTTGATATCCATTTTCAAGTCAGGATAGGTCACACTCATCACAGAGACTGAATGTCAGTTGTCAGTCTCTAAGGACCCCATGCTGCCATATGAGGGCAGGGCTTTCAAATCCCTACAATAACTGCTAAAGCCCTGAGCTTTCCTTTAAGTACGGCCTAGGAGGACTCTACACTGGCTTTAGAGCCTACGTAGATATCTGAGGGCCTATGTACAGGGTGGGGCAGCATAATCGGGAATGCTTTTTGGGCTCTAATCATGAGTAGGCATGACATTATTTTGATAAATTATAGCATGGCAATGAAACGCCCAAAAGTTGTGCATCATCTTACATGACTACATCCATGAGCATGCAACCTCCTGGAAAAGAGCAGCAAAATAGTTCGACGGTGCTCCAAGTGCTTTGCGCGCGCCCATAGACACTAATGTTAAACGAGTAAAACAAGAACATTTTGTTGAAACCCCTGCAATTCCACGTAAAGGTTGCTGGACAGGTCAACGTGTTATCACGGACAATAAGGATTGTGTGGGAATACTTAGGACAAAAGGTTAACGTAATCGTCGTAAAATAACTCTTAGCAGAGGACATACAGATGACTCACTTGAATATAAGGAAGACGCTCTTGAGCATATTAAAAAGAAACAATGCTCAAAACTTCAGCGACCAAAAATCTCACCACCGACTGGAATACGACAAAAAAGAATGGCAAGCCATATAGGGGATTGTATCGAGAATATTCCAGCGGTCATGCAAAGTAAACATCCTGTTGGGGTGATGGACCTATGTATGGGTGGTCTTCAAGGGAGGTGCACGTGGTGCACCCTACTTCATCGAGCCCAGATAAAATGAGCACCTCTGGTAAATACATCCGCACTGTGGCAGACTCATGTGGAGCCGTCGGAACAGAGGATCACTGACGGTCCAGATCACGTCTTACGAGGACTCTGTCTGTGCTGGTACTGCAGTGAGGACGACATGTTATTGTGTAGGGCACCTCCACCTGAGATGAACCAAAAACTTCTGGTCCTTCAACTCCGCCGATTTAAATCCGACCAAATTCTTTACATGGAGCGTTTTTTGGTAGAAGGTTAATGAACAACTTATCATCAGTAAAGACGGTCTTCAGTGCAAGGTACGATGCTGATGGGCGATCATGGACAAGCAGGAGGTTGCACGTGCATGCGCGTGCTTTTGGACCCGCCTTGAGAAGGTCATCGACGCCGAGGGCGGTCACATAGGATGAGAGATAGGTAAAAGGTGACCAATTGATGGGATGTTGCTAAAATAGTGCTTGGAGCTGTATTTTTAAATTCATGACCAAATAATCCCGTTTGATATTTATTCCCGATTATGCTGCCCCACCCTGTAGGTCCCTGAATTCCCAAGCCCATGCCAGTCACTGAGAGCCCAATGCGTTCTCTGATGGCCAATGCCGCCTTCATGGAGATTGGAGCGCGCAACACTGGCCTCCATTCCTCAAGAACGTCGATTTGAGAGGCCGCCATGTCGGTGTCAATAGGGCTCTGCTCCTCGGTTTTCGATTGGGGCATTCCACGTCAAATCAAACACCGAAATCCGTCATCCCCTTCGATTTTTCTGAAAATTTGTAGACAGACTGGGCATGGTTCAAAACTGAGTTACGTATAATATTTTCGAAATTTGATAACGTATCGCCGAGATATAGGTCATCGAATATAGCCAAAAATGCCAGATATCATTTTTTTAAATGCTTATAACTCTGGTTCCTTTTCAGGTATCAAAATGATATTAACAGGGTCTTGTAGGCAATTGATAAGGCTTTGATTTTTAATTATAAAATTAAATTGAAGTGACCTTGAAATGCATTTGACCTTGAATTAAAACAGAAAAATTAAAATAGCAAAAAACACGCCACCTTCGATTTGAGTAATTTTTACATATTATGTCCGGCACAATGTTCCTAACCATCTGTGAAAAAATTGGAGTGGGCCATTCATAACTTTCGCGGCAAACGCCGTTTTCATGCATCAACATCACGCAACCACGCGTGACCTTGAAAGACAGAGTCAAGACATGCTTGCTTGTGTACACTTTCTGAAATGAATGATTGCTGATTAGTGATATCCCAAACTCTGCGAGAATGGAAATGCATAGTCATCGTAGTCAAGCATTCACGTTCCATTGTAAAAGTGTCTCAGGCAAACGGTATTTTGCGGTGAATTTTGAGCCGTGTGGAAATGCATCATGACATAAATTCAACGAAAACATTATCACGCAACGATATCTTCCATGGGTGTAACTTTGTATACTTTCGAGGTCCCATGTGGGACCCCAATGCGAACATTTGGGACCCCAATTGTCATTTTGGGACCCCAATAGTGGAGGCCCCCGAGACGCATCAGCTACTTTGCAAACGGAGGTCCGATATTCATATAAAAGGTTCTCTGTTTAAATAGGAGGCCCCTTGGACAAATCGGAGGCCCTGTTGGACAAATAGGAGGCCCCCTGAACAAGTAAGAGGCCCCCTGAACAAGTAGGAGGCCCCCTGAACAAGTAGGAGGCCCCCTGAACAAGTAGGAGGCCCCCGGAAAACAGGAAGTCCCCTGGAGAAATAGGAGGCTCTCTGGACAAGTAGGAGGCCTCCTGGACAAATAGGAGGCCCTAGACAAATAAGAGGCCCCTAGACAAATAGTAAGCCCCATGGACAAGTAGGAGGCCCTCTGTACAAATAGGAGGCCCCCCTGCAAAAATAGGAGGCCCCCTGGACAAATAGGAGGTCCTAGACCTAGACAAACAGGAGGCCCCTTTCACAAAAGGAGGCCCCTGGACAAATAGGAGGCCCCATGGACAAGTAGGAGGCCCTCTGTACAAATAGGAGGCCCCTGCAAAAATAGGAGGCCCCCTGGACAAATAGAAGGTCCTAGACCTAGACAAAAAGGAGGCCCCTTTCACAAAAGGAGGCCCCCTGGACAAATAGGAGGCCCCTTTCACAAAAGGAGGCCCCTGGACAATTAAGAGGCCCCCTGAACAAGGAGGCCCCCTGGATAAAGAGGAGGCCCCCTAAAAATAGGAGCCCTCTGGATAAATAGGAGGCCGCTTGGAAAATAAGAGGCTACTTTAACCAATAGGAGGCCCCTTGGACAAATAGGAGGCCCCCTGAACATGTAGGAGGCACGCTGGACAAATAGGAGGCCTCTTGGGCAAAGAGGCCCCCTAGAAAAATAACAGGTCCCTTGGACAAATAACAGGTCCCTTGGACAAATAGGAGGCCCCCTGGACAAATAGGGGACCTCTTGAACAAATAGGAGGCTCCATGGACAAGTAGGAGCTAGAGGCTCTCGAATAGGAGGCCCCCTGGACAAATAGAAGGCTCCTTAACAAAAAGGAGTCCCTTCAAAAAAAGGAGGCCCCGGGACAAGTAGGAGACCCTTGGACAAATAGGAGGCCCCTGCACAAATATGAGACTCCTAGTCGAATAAAAGACCCCTGGATAAATAGGAGGCCCCTGGACAAATAGGAGGCCCCTGAACACGTAGGAGGCCCCCTAGATAAAGAGGAGGCCCCCTGGAAAATAGAAGCCCCCTGGATAAATAGGGGACCTTCTGGAGAAACAGGAGGCCTCCTGGACAAATAGGAGGTCCCATAGACGAATAGGAGGCCGCTTGGACAAATAGGAGGCGCCGTTAACCAATAGGAGGCCCCTAGACAAACAGGAGGCCCTCTGTAACAGTAGGAGGCTCTCTGTACGTACAAGAGACCGGCGCTCGACCTGTAGAAGCTTAGCTGTATGTACGCTAGGAGGCTCTCTGTGCAAGTAGTCGAAGTAGGAGGCTCTCTGTACTGTACCTACAATTACAAATAAGAGGCCCCCTGGGTAACTTAGATGCAACACAAATCGGAGGTCACCTATAAAAAAGCGGGACTCTGTTGGAATACCTGATTTAATAAATTATTTTCCTGATATTCAAATTACTTAGGTAATCCTCGTCCGCACATGGGGGGGGGGGGGCAGTGGTTGCCACACCCCCCACCCCGACCTAGGTAGTTTTTTCTGCTCTGCACTAAACATTTTGATTGCTAGAAGTCGGATATTTCGTATAGCTGCTGCTCTATCCTTTTTTAGCGTCCACTGAAAATTTCAAGTTTCTGTGGTTTTTGGTT